GAAGGTTACATATTAACTGTATGAGTCGCCACCTTTAGTAAACAAGCTAAATCATTATGGAGTAAAAACACTCATGCACACACACCACACACCTTGCTTCCTCCACCATCTTCTGACTAGACTGCCTGCAAGTGACCTGGGACACGTAGCTGCCTGGAGTGCAGTTGATGGATGCATAGGTGATGTTACAGACAGACAGGAAGTTGGGTCGCAGGCGTCCAACACTTAGCTTGGCCATATTGGTGAGAGACTGACCCACACAGCAACCAAACAGGAAGCTTCCCAGCTCCTTGTAAAGGCACGACACATAGCAGTTTCGAACAAAGGCCCGTGAGTGTACACCTCGGAAACGCACCCGGTAGCATTCACCCACTGCAATCTGAAAAGAAAATAAGACAATCTGGTTAACACAAAAACAAACACACGCTCCAGTGCATCACATTAAAGAGATGACAACTTTGACTCATAATGCAAATAAATGTCAGCTCTTCTTGTTTTACCGTTAGGCCAGTGATGGCTATACCACCAGCAATGAGCAGGCTGTCAGGGATGGCCTCGCTCGGCACGAAAGGATAGGTGATGCTGGAGTCTCCACAGAAGAAGCCTCGCTTGTACGGAGTCACCGCCTTCAACTCACAGGCAAAGAATGGGATGGAGGCTGATGAGATGTGGGAGAAAGGGAGGGGAGGCAGACAAAAAACAAAAGATGGCTTGATGAATGTCTGTGAGCATGTGGTCTGTGCAACAAAGATAACAGAGAGAGATAGACAGACAGAAAGAGCGAGATACAGTGATACTCCTGTGTTGCAGGAGCGTGAAAGGAGCAGCATTAAAGAGTGTCAGTCATCTGGTGACATGATTTCTAGATTCCCGGGGGATGAAGCATTCCACACATAGTTGCTTCCACCAGAGGATCAGAGAGAAGGAGAGCTGACAGACAGAGAGATGGGTATGACAGTGGAGAATTAGGATGAGGAAGGAGGAAAAAGATATTAGAGGGAATGTTGAAACACAAAAAAAATCATTGTGACAAAAGAGGACAATAAACCCTCTGTAGGAGGAGCAAGGTATTGCTTAACAATGATGCTTTGTTTCAGCGACTTTTAGTTTAATCTATCCAATCTTACATTAACAATTGTCCCACTATGTGTTTACTGTGTTTCCTGGTTGGTGACTAATTATAAGAATTCCGTATCAGGTGAAAGGGGGTCAAGGTCTGGTGCACTTAAGCAAACAGACCTCACAGCTTGATGGTGAAAGTTCGCTGGGGAAAAAGTTGCACAACATTTTAATGATGACTAAAAAGGAGATGGTGCATTTCTATCCCCAGAAACAAGGGCTGAGTTATTACAGCTTTAATTCTGTGTTATACTTTAAACTAATAGCCAATAGCCTTGTAGAAGCCTGCCCTGCCTGCTCCATTTCTTTGTCCCTTATCCCATGTCCCCTTGTCACCCCATGGAATGCAGTAAGAACATGGGGCTAATCATTAACCTCTGTGCCTCTTCCTGTCATCCCAGGCCTGCTGGTTGGTTGGAACGCACCCAGGCCAAAACACTGCTCCTGCCAGGGAATCTCTCAGACTACGTGACTGAGTAGTGCACAGGATACACACTCAAAATCAGGCCAAAAGGAACAACACACTTAAACCCACAAACAATGGCACGCAAACATGCAACAAGCAAATCAACAATTATTGACTGATTAAGGGTGGGAGATGAATGCCTGACCTACTAGAGGTAACTATGTGCTCTTTAAGATTTGGCTTTGTCTCCGCTTTTTTCTTTATGTTTGCTGTCACAACCCTACAGTCCACTAATAAAGCACTCATATTGCTCATTCAGCCTCACTGAACTGATAAAGAAGTGACAAGGGAAATAATCTGTAGATTTGAGTCTATCAGCACAAAAAACACATGAAGAGGCAACTGTGGGGCTTTAGCCGAGACATAGCCAGACTCCATTAAGAAAGTTATACTGTAGTCAAAAGAGTGTGTTAGTGGCCTCTGCAGTCAAAGTCATGCTGCCCTAAAAGAAAGACAAAACACAGATAAAAGCCAGCCCACTTCCATATATTTTAAGAGGGGTCTTAGTAAGACAGCGAGGGAGGGAAAGAGAGATGGAAACACGTTGCAGGCAGATACCAGTGGCTGTGACGCCAACAAAGAGAGAGAGGGAGATAGGAAACACCTCTCATCTGACCCTGATCTCGCACTCAACTCACTGAGTCACTACGTCTACTGGCATCTCCTCACACACACCTACATAAATTCAGCTCAGTCACGTACCTCATGTAATGCACACACCCACATACAGGTCACATTCAGGTGCTATCTGTTTTAGGTGTTGTCAATGCCTTTACAACAGTTGAATGGATTATTATATCATATTATATTATATATCATGTAATGCAATGCTAATAATTCAGTAGTAAAATTAGATTTTTAAAATGTTTACATTACATTACATATCCTTAGGAGTAATATTACAGAAAGCTTAAAGTAATTCTGATTAGTTTATATTAGCTAAGATTGGAAAAGTCCCTTTTCTTTTGTTAATTTAAAACTGAATACCTGTATGAGTGTTTCCTGTTTCTTTAATGCCACCTGCATAAAATGCTCACACATCTCCTAATCTTGTAATCATAATCCCTTTATCTGTGTTCGCCATACCTTTGTGGAGACCTGCAGAGATATGGTCTGGTTCATCTCTGGTTCAAACTAAGTGGGTGTGTGTTTTTTTTTTTTTTTTTCACTGAAAAATCATCCAACACACAGCCAACAATCGCAGCTTGCTAGCTTGACAGGTGTGCATATATGTGCACGTGTTTGTACCATGTGTGTATAGCAGCATGGGGGAACATAATTATTGTCTTGCAGATTAGTGTGTGATGAGGTAAAATAATCAGTATGCACTGTAAATTTAATATTCAATGTAATTATATTATTAAATGTAATGTATTACTCTAATAAAGTAATAATGGCAAATTGACAATTGATTAGGGGATAAAAGTTTAAATGTACAGACTGTATAATCACTGCTAGTTCTCATTATACTACAAGGAAGCCGCTTTTTTCACAATGTCTTTTATATCCGATAGTGAAGCAATTAAGGGCTGACGGCGCTTTGTGAGCCACTTTTACACAGGCCTGGACATGCTGCATTTTCTGCTGAAATGTGTTTTTTGGTTATATTTTGGAGTGTTCTTTATGTGCTAAAATGTTGCAACATACAGTACAGCATTTGACAATTATTCTGCCATAAATTAACTGCTTTTCTAATTGTTCAATATCAGTTCTGTGAAAAAATAAAGACCTTGTACTGCTTTCTATATCTTCCATGAACAGGCTTTCCCTGTGTGCTCATCAGATTCCACAATATGGGCAGTCCTCTCGCAATAATCAATATTTTGCTACATTGACAGAAAGGTAATGGATAGATTTTCCATTAAGGACCAAACACTCTGCGGTTACAGTGTGAACATGGGCTTCTTAAGGGATCATTTTCAATACATATGGAGGACTAATGGGAACCATGAAGTGCTGAGCCTGATGGCAGCATATTTTATGACCTCAGGACTGCCAGTATATGGTTTGTGTTGTTTTCCCAGTTTTTGCAAGTCCATAGGCAGACTTAACACTAATGGCCAGGTACCAAAGATCACTCCACAGTGGCAACTCTGTTTGCAAAGCTTATTAATAATACAAAGCTACCAATTGGACCTCAATCGGAGTTAGGTCACAAATTCTAAGTGCTTTACAATAAATAAAAAGTAAAAGTTCTAGGAACCAAAGTTAGTCAGAATCTTGTACAGTGCCATACAAATTACAAGCTCCTGTGTCACAGTCAACCTCTATGCTTTACAACTACATTAAAACAGTTTTCACAACAAGACACAAAAACACTCCAGAGACCCTAACATCATCTGTCAAGCAGCTGTGAGCAAACCTCTGCACCTGGCCAAGACATGCTCAAAAGAAAGCCAGGCCAGGAAAGCCTGCAAGGGGACCCAAAAGGAGGCGGAGGAGTGGGTCGGCTCACACAGCCAGGCCAAAATGTGCTGCTCGCTGGGCCTGACACTCAAAGCAGGAATGCTTTCAAATAGTCAAAAGGGGTAGAAAGAAAGAAGGGGTGGGGGGAAGAGAGGGAGGGAGGAAAGAGAAGAGGAGGAATGAGAGCAGAGGGGATATGAGCCTCACTCTGAGAAACTCTTCTGGTTCTAATTTACACATCTATGACCACAACCCAGAATGAGCTCACTGTGAGAGGAGAACAACAACAACTAAAACCAAGAAATTAAAAAAAAAAAAACCTATGGAGAAAGTGATTACAGGCAGAGTGCAAAAAAATCAGGCCAGATGATAGTTACTCAACGACATCCTCTGCAGTCATATTGCTAAACATCTGCTGATTAGTACAGAGTAAAACAAAAACTAGGCTAAAATGCATGGCCAGAAGGCTAGAACATTGACAAATGGGGGTGAGGGCAGTAATACTGGGGTGAGAGAAAACTGGACAGATGGAGCCAAGAGAGATGGGAAGGGTTTCTCTACAGAGAACAGCAGAAGGAGGCGATTAGTGGTGGTTCTGGAATGTGAGGGTCAGAGATCTGGGCTCTGCTGGGACCCGCTCTGTAAACACGACCCCACCTCAACTAGCAGAATATCCCCCAACTCACATACACATAAAAACAACACTGGGTTGCAAACAAACCAAAGCCACAGCCACATAGACTTAACAGACAACCAAACAAACCAAAAACCAAAAACCTCACCGGCACCTGGAAGAAAAACTAACCAACCAAATAAACCATGCTAGAGCCAAATAATCCTAAATGCATGCATTGAGGCAAACAGCGTGTTCACTAACACAGAACTAAATGATCTCTTGTTGATGCTGCGGCTACTGACGGACAAACAGCCTGTGCATCCTCATAGATTAGCACGATGCTCTGCCTAAAGCTATATCTAAGTCACAATAATGGCCATCTGCTTCATCACACTCGATAATGTCTGACTGTACAGGCCTCGCTCTACATTTGCCCTTTGATAGAACTGGAGGACAAACAATTGGTGACCTGTCAACACAGGTCCATCTGGCCTGAAGTTTAGGAATGGGCTGAGCCTGGGCTGTAGCCAAGCTTGCTACAGCACCCTTCAGGGGTGGTCCACCCTCGCTGGGCCCCTCACCAGCTTGAATGTGCCAGTTTTTCCCAACTAAATTTTAGGCTGCTTGTTTACCTTCAAGTCAAACTTGCAAAAAAAATACTAAGCTAGTGAACTGAACTGTGAAGTGCTGGAATTTGTCTTTTTTTCCAGCATGATAATCCCTGGTAACAGCAATACAAGAAGCAGTGTGACAACCTGCCTGATAAGCTTAAAAACAGCAGTCTGCAGTTGGGCTGGGTAGGCTTGTATGATTATTTGTGCAATAATGACTTTAACTGCACAAAGCTGTCTCCGTAAGCTAGCCTTGGTCTGCTCTTTCATCTAATCGCTATTCAGTTTGAGTAAGGTACTTCAAGAGCAAAGCCAAGTCTTTTATGTTTCACCTGATATAAAACAGTCTTTGTTTGAAGAGGCAGTCCGGGAAGAGACTGCATGCACCATCACACAGGCTCAAGCATTCAAAAGAACAGAGACACACATACACAGACGGT